GAAAACTACTATCTTAATTATATGTCTGCCATCTTGGATTCTAGAATGCCTCCGATTCAAGAAACTATCATATCTATTAGCGTGTGCCAGTTCTATTCCATGTGAAAAGTCTGAGCAAAATATTCAATTAAATCAAGACGGGTCCACACAATATCTGTTTCCACGAAGGTATTGAAATTTATATGTCTTCCTAGGTCTTTCAAAATTACGCTTTTTGTTTGTGTTTTTTTATATCCCGAGATTTTTTACAGGACTTTTCATTACGAGCACGTCTTTGTTATGTAGAACAAGACAAGACTCAATGTTGGCATCAGTGTTGGGAAAACATCAAAAAATCAAATCTCACCAACGCTCAAGATCACGCTTGATTTTCGTAGACTAAAAACAACAAGCAAACTACTGCGGTTGATTTTGCAAGCTGTGATATCGCAGCTCGGAATATCAAGCTAACAAAACTCACCAACTGCAAATCTCACCAAACTGTGGTGAGATTGAGTTTAATGATTTTTGCTTCACACCCGAATGCAACCGAAACTTCCGTAACGGCTTGCAGCAGTCCCTTCGCGTCTGCCATCGGTGAAGATTAAAAAGAGATAGCAAACTATGCTTTCTCTTTCTAAAAAACGATGTGCAATGGAATCATTTTTGTGTTGAGTCAACTCTCAGCTTGATTTTTGCACATTCTGAATAGTCTCAAAGAAGCTTGTAAAATCAATATCAAGCATGATATTTTGTTCCAATATCACGCGTGATATTGCGAGCGCATGAGAGCAGAAAAATATCAATTGATTTCGGATTTTGCCAACACTGGTTGGCATTAAAATTATCAATTCAAGGCAACGATAAAATGACTAGCGGTTGCACACACGTCTAGTCTCAATATTTTTTCCTAAGCCTGAAAAATCTACTTAATTTTTCTAAGCCAGAGATCTTGAAATTTTTCTTTTTGACATCGCAGATCGCAGAAATAAATAAATAAATAAATAAATAAATAAATAATGCAACCCTCGATGGCTCTGCGTGCCAATTATTTATGAACCATGATTTTGCCGGAGGAAATTGAAAGTATCAAAAGTTACCTTGAACTAAATTGCCAACGGATTCTCCAATGGTCATCTTTCCAAGGCTTGATACATTATTCAAACCAAGCGTCCATCAACATGAGTAATAGCCGCATAATTGAACTTGAAACCGAGTCGATCGTCGACAGTATTATCACTTCCTGAATATCTACCTGTCAGCTCGGTCACTCGCTCAGCCAACCCTCACAAATCGCCATTCAGGTGACAAAGCAACACCCTGGCCTTATCTGTCCGAGACTATCTTCATTATTCGCACCACTTTATGCGGATGATGAAAAAACCTGCTCTCGTTACCGCTCCATTAAATAATAAATCTCGGCAGCAGGAGCCGACCGGGGACTTGACCGGGTCCCAGCGAAGAAAGGAAATCTGATATGCCATTATTTTGACTCATTTCTCCGCCGGTTTTCTTGGAGGATCTATATCACAGTTGTCTTACCACCGGGAGCAGCTGCAGCAGCAGCGTGGAAGGAAACTGGACCCGGTCGCACCGGTCACGGCAGTTCTTTGCACTACTGCTACCGACTGCTACCGCTGCTATCATCATCAATCGTCCACTGATCTTCCGTCGTCGTCGTCGTCGTCTCGGTCGGCCACAGGCCAAGTTCGGAAAGGACGCAATGCCTCGGTGTCATAACATTGATATTGGCCGCGTTCCTTGTCGATGTCGCACCCGGGAACTGGTCCTCTCTGGGGGCTCCCACCGACGGGCTGACATTGCAATGTTCGATGGCTTCGTGCACCGTTGCGCGTTGATTGATTACTTCAATCATTTACGCTGACGTCGTTTTATCGGTGGTGCTCTCGGGATTGCTGAGGGGTTTTGTTTTTGCAACGCTTGTTCCGGCCGATAAAAACCAGCATCGGGACAATCTTGGAGCTTTATATTTTAATTAGTCACTACTCACCGAGCGGAAAGAATATGACGTTTAGTGGAACGGGAAATTGGCACATGATGGATGGAATGCAGAGGATCAGTCTTGCTGAGGGAAGCTTAATCGCTTATTCCACTTCCAAATGCAAACAGCAGTCGACAGTGAACATAGCCGCATGAACAACAACCGAAAGTGCAGCATGCTCTGTAATCACGGTGGAAAAGAATCAAATGCTGGTTGCTGCAACCAAACCTGGCACGAGCGGGTGCTATAAAAGCGCCACTGTACTTCTGGATCCCACCGAGCAGAGCAATGAGCTAATCACAACCTTTGCCGCGCGATTCAGAACAACTCGTGAATGGTTCCATAGTGGGAGGTAAAATAAAAAGCAAAACAAAACCTCTCGACCAGGGTTGCTTCGGCTCACTTCGCTACATTTTTTGGTTTTCGGAATTATGGAACCATGAGATGCTAAAATGATACTTTGTACTTGTAAGCAGAGTTGCTTCCACTTACTTTGGTTTAACACTCCGAACACGATGCCACTGGTAAAATGTTTAACGGCAAACTTGCTCTGTCTGAAAAACCATAGCTGAGCTATTTATTTACACATATCAATTCTATTGGTGCCATTTGAAATAACAGACTTTACAGATTTCTTCGGTATCAATTGATAAACTATCGATAAATTGCTGAGCAATGCATTTTCAAACATCATCAATTTTCCGTTACACCTTTTACCGGAGGCATCGTGTTTGGAGTGCTAAAACATGTTTTTTTTTAATTCTGATATAATAAGATGTTATAATGATATGTTGTACTTGTAACTTACTAGTAAAGGTTGTAAAGTATGTGTATGACACATCGAATTTGTCAATTTCGCTTTCAGAGTCACACTCAGCGATTTTATGATTTGTGAGCGCTCACTCTGAGTGAACGCTCACGAATCAAAAAATCGCTGATAGTAACCCTCTGTACGTGACAAACACGTGCTTCAAAAACCTTTTCTTGTAACTCACAAGTAGAACATATAATTACAACAGTTAATGATTCCAAAAATCCTAACAATTTATTTTTATATTGAACTGAGTCGAAGCAACCTTGCGTCTCAACTCTAACGCTCTCGTCAGAACCCATTAAACGGTTCCGCATTGAGACCGGCAGCATTGTTCCTTGGCGTTATCGGCGTACCACCACCATTGAAGATTGCACATGAAGGTATGTCGTAAAAATAACCACAACAATGCTTAAGGTGAATGTTGATAGGATTTACAAATGGCTGTTATTATGTTTATTTTGCCTTGCCACTCAGAATTGTTGAGGAATCTCAGAAATTGGTCCAGCAAAAAGGAGATTATAATTGCGCACACGAAATCTTTTGTGTAATCTAAGGTTGGAAGTGGCAAGGACAAAATAAACATACTAAGGGCCATTTGTAAATCCTATCAACATTCACCTTAAGCATTGTTGTGGTTATTTTTACGACATACCTTCATGTGCAATCCTCAATGGTGGTGGTACGCCGGCCATTTGTGGATTCTATCAACTTTAACCTTAAATCAGGACCAGGCACGTCTTTTTAGACTTCAAAATTTGATTGAGTTAATCTAAATGGTATTAAAGAAGCCCTCTTTGGCTCCCAAGTAAGATCCATATTGATTATGTCGACTTTGCGCAAAATCAACTCTAGATAAACATTTCAAATGGTCCTATCTGAATTGATGGATTATCTTCATCGACTTTCTCTTTCGTCAATAACGCAGCTGCAAACCTTTCCCTGTTGTATTTGATTTTTTGCGCGCTAGATAAGAACCTCCTTTATCAAACTATGTGGTAGAATTAGCGCGAAATCTGTTCGCATAGCAGTAGCTTTGAAAAGAGAAAGTCGATGAAGAGAATCGATCAAAGCAGATAGGAAAATTTTAAATGTTCATCGAGAATTAATAGTTGTTGGTAGCATAACCTCTTGTTTAATTTATCTTCCCTCATAAGAGTAAAAAATTAAAAAAAAAAAACGAGCAAGACAGCCACGTAATCAAAGTAGGCATTGATTTTCATCCTGTTTCGAGGATTTTTTATGGATATATCGTGTAGAAAATCTGGAACGATTTTTACCGGAGCTCAATAAAGGAGACAGTAGATATCCGAGGTTGGCTACTCTTGCCCAGTTAGTTTAGGTAGCCCTCACCATGAATTACTTCAGAATTGCTAGAGCTTCATTGCAGCTCCCATATTTTGTCTAAAAAAACTTTCAGGAAGGTTCAGTGACTTTCTAGGAAATACTGCAAACTATAGCTTACAAGTAATATCTTGATCAAATGGAACGGACACTCTTTTCAATGGTTCAGGTGCTGCGGTGAGGGTTGCAAATAATCTCCTTGTAGAATTCTCGCTATTTTATCGATGATTGCCTGGATTGTGGTCTCCTTGTATCCGTTGAGTCTTGCTGTTTCGAAGATGTACTGTAATTCCTTAACCTTTCCTGTATCGCTGAGTGGAAGAGTCTGCATTCGATGAATCATGTGGTGAAAGGCGGCCATTTTCTGCTGGAACAAATGGTTAGAAGTATAGGAGATAACTCTTTTGGTGCTTGTTGGTTTCCTGTAAATTTCGTATTCAAGCGAGGAAGATGATGACGATCCTTGTGAATTATGTTGATCTCATCTAAAATTTGTCGAAGGGCTTCCCGTTTAACTACGCTGAAGATATCGTCGACAAAGCTCCACCAACGGTTTGGTAATAGTCCTTTCTCCTTCAGGATTGTCTCCAAGTTAGCCATGAAAAGTTCACACAAGAAGGGGGATAGAGGGTTTCCCAGTGGGGCTCCTTTCGTCTGCTTGCAGAAGTTCTCTCGGAAAGAGAAGTAGTTCGCGGGTAGGCGGGTCAGCTTAAGGTACATCCGAACCTTGTTTCTCCATGCTGCATCCTCTCGTTGTGTTAATAGCCAGTCCTCCAAATAGTTGATCGCTTCCTAGACCCGTACGCTGGGAAAAAGAGCTGTGACGTTGAAATATACCATAATCTCGTCCTCGTTGATGTCTCCTCAAGATTGTAGTTGCTGGGTGAACTCCTGGGTGTTACTAACTGCTTTACTCTGGAACTGAATCGGCATACTCTGGAACTTGGAGGAACCAACTGTAGACACGATCTCTCGCATTTCATTCCCCGGTTTGTTTGGGGTTTGGGGAGACCTTTGTGTGAAAATCCGCCGATATAAGTTATGGGCAAATCACCCACAGCGCAGCTAATTATTGTTCAACTTACCCGTGCAGCAGCTGAATCCAAAAATGACCTTTCACCAACTGACAGGAAATGTGTAAGAAAAGTCATGACCTACCTAGTTATTATCCATCTCATATCTTCCCTCTCCTTTCGTATAAAAGTTATAAAAAGTATTTTTAAACAATAATTAATGATAATAAATTACTGAATCTTGATCCACCGCTTCTGTTACCTCAATCCCAGGTCCCGCAGCATAGCCTTCACCCGGTGCTTGATGATCGGTATGCCATCCGCCGAGTACAACTCGCGTCCTGTAATGATGAACAGTTCTTTGAACTGCTGCGTCCGGTGGGTCAGCTTTCTGGCGTGCTCTGTTGGGAAAATCTCTAAACACTGCAGCGCTTCCTCAGAGTGTGGATAGTGCAAATCCAACACGTCCACATTGTTCAGCGTCAGCTTGTGCACCTCCATGATGGCATTCGAGGCCTTACTGCTGTACATATCGATTTTGGTTCGATGAAGACTGGCAACCTGGACATAGTACTCGGCCACCCCGGCCATGCCCCACTGAATGGCATTCCGTGCCTTCTCGTGGCATTCGTTTTTCAGTTCCTGGTGGTCCTGGGACATATTGCGGCATTCTTCGGCCGTTTTCAAGTGAAGATTGATGTCGTCTTCGCTGGATGACGGTACCTGCTCGACCGTTGGAGGTGGCGACGTTGAGGACGAAGGAAGTGCTTTCTGTTTTTCGGCTTCTGCTCGCTTCATAAGGGCTTCCCGTTTGCGGGCGATTTGGTTTCTCAGCTCTTCCGGGATGGAATTGTTTAAGACGGTTATAGCGTCGCTGAATTTGTGGGCATATAGGATTTCTGCCAGGACTTTCTCGTCAATGATAGGATACATTTCGGCTAGCTTTTGACGAGTCATATGCGAGGCCAGATCTTGCGGAGCTTGCTTAGCCCAGCCGTTGATTTCTCTTCGGTACGCCGTTAGGGCGTACTCCATTTCCATAATGTCGTTCAGGCTGGGGGAATCCTCGATGGTCATTTTGAACAAAACGGGATACTTTTCCTTCGCTTCCATTTGCTGTGCCAATCGAGCATATTTTTTTTTTTCATAAAATCTTGTTTTTCCCCTACAGCTGTACATGGAATCCAAGAACGACAAATACAACTGTTCTGCCATTTCGGTAGCCATGAAAACCTTTGTTCGTTCATTGGTTAGTTCGTCTAAGGAGATGGTACCCGAGCCATGCTTATCCTTGAAAGTGGCGTGTAGCTTGCTTATGAGATTAACGGTAGACCGATCGATTTCGTAACCCCCTCCACCACCACCACTACCGGAGGGATCACCGGAAGGCACTTGCAATACCATTGTTTCATTGCAATCACATTCAATCGCGAGTAGGCCGCCAACCTCACCGGCTTCCAAATTATCCGCTGTCTCGAATTCGTATGCCTTTTGCTCTTCTAGCAACAGATTTGCTGTCCAATCACCGTGCCCATTGCAGTTCTCGAACAAATCCCACAGATACTGGACCGGAATCTGGGGATAGAGGATGCAAATTTCCGAGAAGCTAGTGTTTTCATTTTTGCATCCTCGTCTGTGCCTGACCAGAGCAATCCGTTTCTTTTCCGATTTCTTCTTTTTCCTGGGCTCGACCGACGTCACACCTGTGAAAATCCGTCCTCACTCGTTTTCTCAGAACGGCCGTCCCGGTCGCGTTCAAATTTCCAATTTTCCTTGCAAGTGGGTGATTTGCCCTTTATTATCTATCGGTGGTCTCCAAGATTCCAAGTTCGTCTCCTGGCAGGATTGCCAGAAATGTCAAAATCCGCCGATATTAGTTATGGGCAAATCACCCACGGCGCAACTAATGATTGTTCAATTTACCCGTGCAGCAGCTGAATCCAAAAATGACCTTTCACCAACTGACAGGAAATGTGTAAGAAAAGTCATGACCTACCTAGTTATTATCCATCTTATACTTTGATCCTGGGTTGAATGGGATTGCGTACCGTAAACGACCTGCTTCATCTCCTAATATCAATTTGCACTCCTTCAGTGCTTTCTCTACGCGTTTCACTTTGTTCTGTAAGGGGTCTACTCGAAGCTGTCTATACGGTCCGTTGTTAATCTTCGTTGTCATCTGATTGTCGTAATCGTCCTTGTCCATGATAACGACCGCGTTTCCCTTGTCTGCTTTTACGTAGTATACTGCTTAATTTTTCAGCTCCTTTACAATCCGAATTTCTTTTTCGTTGGCACGACCTTGTTCCTGACCGTCCTTGATTATGTTCGATGTGATAGTCCTAACCGTACTCTGTGATGATGTTGGAAGTGTCTTGGTAATCGCTGTTTCTACGTAAATGGTGATCTGCTCCACGTCTTGCTTGGTTGTAACCGCGTATCCTAGCCCCTTGTTGATCAGCAAACAACGTAATTCAACTTTACTCAACAGGGATCAAGGAAAGGGACACACATTGCTTTTCAAATTACTTACTAGGACACATCAACGAGTAAACAGTGGAGTACCTGGTCCTACAAGAAATTAAATTAAATTTTACCTAGCTTCTAAGTGAAAATGTACCTGTGTTAATATATATTCGGTAAATGCGATGCTTTTCTTCACTCGAGTATTAGTACAAGACACTGAAGAAGATGTGCTTCAATCTTCAGAGAAGTTCTATAAACTTCAAGAAAATTCTGCCAACTTCAGGGACGTTTTCTGACCTTCCAGGGAGTTTAATGTTCTCCTGGTAAGTTCAATTTCAGCAAACCTTTAAATTGTCTGTGAACCACAGGAAAAATTTACTTCCCACTGCATGCCTTAGAAAACAGGTTAAATAGAGAGAATGTGATATCTCTTTCTCTTTTACGCTTCCCTTAATGTGATCGAGGGCATGAGAAGGTTGGAAGGGCGTAAAAATGTTGAGAGTTTGCCACCTAAAAAATACCGTGAGAACGGCTCACGCATATTACATTGCCGTTTACCGATATAAAAACTTGAAAGGACAGCCCCATGGGGTTGTACCATGTTGTACGCAATGGTGACGTAGGACTACGTGGTCTTACATCATAAATGTTATTTGTTAACTGCAGCAGGAGCTTTTGAGCTGGATTCTCTCTGCTTATACTCTTTAATATAACTATGATTGCCCTGAAAAGAACCATTTGATATGAATTTTAGTTGGGACATGTCCAGAAATTTAACTCTTTTGGGAAATCTTGATGGCCCTGAAAACGACCGATGGTAGTACAGGCTTAAAGCTTTTGGAAGCTGATGATGATGTGTAGGCAGCTGGATCAGCAAATCGGATCGGACAATCCCATATTCTTTGGTTCAATGATTGGGCACTTGCAAGAGTCTCGGACCGTCTGCTGCTTTTCAGTTTTCTCGTTAAACTCCTTCTTTCAACAAGTTGGTCAATCTTAGCATTAAGCAGAAAGACGCTAAACACATTTTATTCGGCGAAATTATGATCCTGTTTCACGTCATGCTTCTTCTCTATTGCTGTTCAGATAAATTAGTAATTTTATCTATTTTCTCTACTGTGCTAAATCAAACGAGTAGAAATAAGAAGGGATGTCGGTTGTGCGCTCGAATAATTGCAAATTCGATAAATATTTAATTAAATAGCTGGAAAAATCTTTGCGATTGATCATTAATCGAATAATTTGACTTTCAGGCATCCCTAGAAAATAGTGCGATTTCATGTTTTTTTTGTGGTCCTTCGAAAATGTCGACCAGCAGAATTGCACAGCAAGTGCAACCCAAGAACTTGTTTTCATTGTTATGACGACGACTGAAGTAAGGGGCTTAGAAGCAGAGGGGTGATAGGCAATTCTCTTCATCGCTTTCCTCTTTTGATGACCATGGCTTCACTAAGCTATTTCGCACTATTTCTTCTAAGCTCTTCTATCATCCAGAAAAACAAACCTATCAATGAATGTGTTTGCCGTCAAGTTATTGACGAAACAGAAGGTCGATAAAGAGAATCGATCGAAATCACCCCACCCCCAAGTTTGGTTACAAGATTACAACTCTGAAGAGCATTTTGTGCGGTCGTTTGGGGTGTGTGGTTCTGAATATGGCGATGTTAATAATAAAATGTTACGCAACTGCATCCTCCCTATTCGCACACGCCCGAAGATCTGAAGAACGATTATCTGATGACTGTGTTGGGGAAATAGCATATGCATGTGCATAATTGGTGGATTTATCAGTTCTTTTGACGCTTTTGGACAATGCTTGACATTTAACACTTTTTCAATAGTTTTTTGTTAAAAATCAACAGTTGATAGCATTGTTTTCGATGCGTGGAAATATTTCTGATTAATTGGTGATAAAATTATTGAAATTGTTCCAGGGGAAGCTGAGGTATTAACATTCAAAATCTTTCATAATTTCGTTACATGTTCCATTTTCGGTTTTCACAAAGTGTTCGCCCATATGGAAATCACAGACGTATTCCTACGTCAAAAATAGAGCAGTTTACGAAAATTGAGGTTCACAAGTATCCAGAAAAATGATGTTAACGAGAAGTTCAAACCTAACTCGACAGTCAAAGTTGTGTGGATGTGTAGATATTTATAAGAAAAAAACACTGCAGAAAAAAAAGATATTCATAAAAATTTGCAAATTATGTCTGACGCTGGTTTCTCCTGGGAAACGCAAGATAGAGCAGTTTGAGCATGTAGTGAAAACGGGATTGATTTTTTGGACTTACCTAACGTTGAAATGGTCACCCTAATGACAAAATAAAGAAAAACAGTTTGCGATGACGAACAAAACTTTAATTTTTACTAAATTCTGATATTCACTTTTTCGTTTTACAATGTAATGACTGGATTGTAGTAAATTTAGAGACTTAAACATTGCTTAATTATTTTATTAATTTGAACATTTAGATATCACGACAAAGTTACGATCACTTACAGTACGGAAGAGGAAACCTTACTGTATTATTGAAACTTAGTATTTTGAGAACTTTAATCCACTTTTGAATAATTTTCAGCTGAATTTGCTTAGATTCGTATACTCCTTTGTAAACGGCTAAGTATACTTCAAAACACATTTTTTTTTCAAAAAAAATCCAAGATGAAATATTTTAAAACCTTCACAGATTTGATTGTCAGGATCAATACTAACATTTACACACATATGATATATTTGTTACATTTGGCTTGAATGCCCTCAATGTGATCTTTAAACGTTAATTTTTGGTCAAGTAGTAATCCTAGATATTTCACTTGACTTGCCAAGAAATTGAAAATCCGTTCATAATGACTTTGTTGACTACTACTAGGTTTCAAAGTATAAGTTAAGTTTTGGAAGCGTTGGGAGAAAATCGGCGTGTCATCAGCGAACAAAGATTTGTGGCAACCCTGAGGTCAAAAGAGAAAATGTTTTACAAAATAGGCCCTAAATGCTACCCTGAGAATCTCCAACTCTAACAGGTAGTTGTTCAGATTTGGAATTTTGATAATTTACCTGCAGAGATCTGTCAGTTAAGTAATTTTGAACTTGTTTCATAATATATAGTGGAACATCATATCTTCATGTCGAACACTGTCGAATGCTTTTGATATGCCTCGAAGAGCAACTCCAGTTGAAAAGCCATCAAATTTGTTTGAACGCATTAAATTTGTAACTCTTAAGAGTTAATGAGAAGTTGAATGCCCATGGCGAAATCCAAACTGTTCATGCGTAAATATTGAGTTCGAATTGATGAGAAGCATCGTTCTATTCAAAATCATCTTTTAAAAAAGGATCCTTATTGATGAAAGGAAACTTATTGGACGGTAGCTAAACGCATCAGCAGGAGTTTTATCTAGTTCCAAAATTGGAACAACTTTTGCATTTTTCCGTTTTTCAGGAAAGTATATCAGATTAAAACGCTTGTTAAATAGTTTTACCCAGAAAACCAAGGTTGGAAGTTGTTTGATGAAGATATAGAAACTTCCATCATCACCCAGAGCTTCATATTATGAAAATGTTTAGTTATAGATCTTACCTCGTCCAAATCAGTCCCCCAGGAATCATAATCCCGAGCAATTTGATTCTCAATATGACTAGTAGGACCCAATCTGCAATTATGGTCACTCTCAAATTGCCTTTTCTGAGTTTGTGATCAAAATTTTATGACCTTATATATGCTATTATTTTTTTTTTTTTAGTTTCCAAAATGATTTGGAGCTCGGGTCTAATTTCGAAACATTATTCAGGGCAGAGAATTGCATTTTAATTTGATTTTGCAAGTTCTGAAATTGCCTCCTACGGACATTTTTCAGACGGATCAAGAGCTGAAGATCTTCGTCTATTAAAACTGAATCAAATTTAACTTCGCATTTTGGTAATGAGGCAGCTCTTGATTCATCTATTAAAGTAGTCATTGATTTAAGAGCATATTTGGCTTGCAAAGGAATATTGGGACCAAAGATATATTCCAACAACAATTTAAAATCTCGCTTTCGAAAAAAAAAATTGCAATGTTCCAGTATAAAAATGAGCAATTTTGGACCAATTATTCAATGCTTTAACTTAAAAACTCAGACCTCTAAGACAAACAAATGAAATGAATTGTGAGACTTGGAATCATGTTCATCATCATGTAAGTTTCACAGTCCAAGAAAATTTGATATGCTTCT